GTCCCTTTGTTTAAAGTTAATTGAAATAGAGACCATTTAGATCAACCCAAATTTTATAACAAAGACAAGCCAGATTACCACTGGCAGATTTTATATCGTAAAAAGAAAGAACTTACTAGATGCTGTTGAAGCTGTGTTAAAATTACCAAAAAGTCTCGATATAGACAAAAGTTATCCGCTTTATTTGCTTCTGCAAGGTCTTTTTTAACATTAAAATAGCACAATAACCGATACATCTAAGCCTGATAATGATTCTTTATCGATTAATAATTCATGATAAAAGCACATTGATCCCCTGCTAGGGAATGATTATGGCATGATTTGTCTAGTTAGGTCACGATGTATAACGATAAAACGAAACACGCAATACTGAAAATATTTACAGAAAAATCTACTTACATTTATCTATATCAATAAAGTATGATTTCTCCCATCATATGCAATGATATTACTTCTATAGAATTTGTTAAAACGCGAAATATTTGCAGAATATTTAGTCCCAAAGCATACCTGTCATTTAACTTTAGAGTATCAAAGGGAGATAATAATTCTAATGAACCTAAAGATCAAATATAATATTTTTCCATCTCCTAATTTGCCATTTTGTAGTATTTTGTTTTTACATATTATTTGCCATTTTGTATTATTTTGTATGTATGTACTGTTTTATGTTGTCACATGCCCATATGGGCCCTGACTTATTCAAATAAACCTTGAAACCTACGCAGTGATCTCCCCTTATCAGATAATCTGCACTGTGAGGAGTTTGACATTTTTTTCTAATACATAATAAAAATATCCCAAACACACAAATATTAAATATCTGATTCAAGACTTCTGTAAAGTGGACTAAAATAATACATCTGTCTTCAATAAAAAACAAGAAATGTCGAACGACACATATGCCCGCCTTTCTCGGCCTGCAGGACAGGGCGGACCGTGAGACAGGGCGGACCGTACCAGGGCGGACCGTGACTCGAGACTAGGCGGACCATTTTTTGGGACAGGGCGGACCGTCACTCGAGACGAGGCGGACCGTGATTTAAAAAAAATATTTATATGTGGATTAATGTAACAAAAGTATTAAATTATTGATGTTTTTGTTCTTTGTATTAATATTTCAATGAAAATATAAAAGTAAAAATATAAAATCACTTTTAAAAGTTCATGTGTAATAGTATATTAATTTGCTGAATGGACACTGTCACTCGAGACGAGGCGGACCGTGATTTTAAAAAGTATTTAAAGTATTTAAAGTATTTAATTGTGGATGATTTTGGTTTTCTTTATAATATTTCAATCTAAACCCTTCTATGTAACATAACATATATTTTAGAGTAGTTTAATACTTTTTTTCAAGAAATTATTTGTAACTGCGTCGACTTACGCAATTAACCAATTATCGGGATATTACAATGTCATTGTTTGTATAAGACGCTAACAATAAATAACAATGATAACGAATTACATCACATTAAAATTATTTGCAATACAACACAATAACAAAAAATGAAGTGACATATTTAAAGAACAAAATTATTTTATTAAAATTTACATAATAAGCACAGACACATGAAATAAAAAGTACACTGAAATAGAATTTATTAAACAATAAGACACATCAAAGACTTACAGTTTGTATTACAATACACACAGTGATGACGAATGACGAGTTTATATACAAATTTTACATCACAGACAAGAAGAGACACATTATTTACAATACCAATACAAGATAAATACTTTTTTTAAATCACGGTCCGCCTCGTCTCGAGTGACGGTCCGCCCTGTCCCAAAATATGGTCCGCCTAGTCTCGAGTCACGGTCCGCCCTGGTACGGTCCGCCCTGTCTCACGGTCCGCCCTGTCCGTAATTCTTTTCTCGCCCTTGACTCACATTATTGGTAATTTTTGTTATAGAAACTTGCCATGAATGGGTACATGGAGGTGTTCTATTATGGAAAAAAAGAAGTAAAAAATGAAGACTTTTTGATAAATACTTTTCAAGATAATGAGCGGAAACCATACATACATTCAAGAACCCTGTGACCTTGACCTAGTGACCCAAAATCAATAGGCTTTGGGGTCATATTATAGTTATGACCAATCAGTATGTGAAATATGAAGAATTTGTGATATACATGTATATAGTTTTCAAGATAATAAGCGGAAACCATTCTGACATTTAAGACACCTTTGACCTTGACCTTTGAACTAGTGATCCCAAAGCAATACGGGTCATCTACTGATTATGACCAATCACTATGTGAAATATGTAGAATTTGTGATAATAACCTTTCAAGATAATGAGCTGAAATCATACTACTTTTCAAGGACCCTGTGACCTTGACCCCAAAATCAATAAGGGTCATCTACTAGTTATGACCTATCAATATGTGAAACATGAAGACTTTGTGACAAATAGTAACCAAGATAATAAGGGGAAATCATACTACCATTCAAGGCAATGGTGACCTTGACCTTTGACCTAGTGACCCGAAAATCAATAAGTATGTGAAATATGAAGACTTTGTGATGAATAATTTTCAATATTTTTAGCAGAAACCATTCTGACATTTTAGGCCCCTGTGACCTTTAACCTAATAACCCAAAAATCAATAGGGTCATCTACTTGTAATGACCAATCACTATGTGAGATATGAAGACTTTATGATGAATACTGTAGTGCTCTGGTGAGCCCCACAGAATATCACGCTATAAAATGATGAGACGATCGAACGTTCAAACAGACATTATGACAGATCAAATGTAAACAAAAGCTTATTAAAATAAATGCACCTTACATTAGTAACAGGTGAATAATTGTCATGCAAAAATACTGGTTTAAATCAATAACATGTATCAAAATAAAGGTGACTAGGTGATGAAAACATATTACTCTACACTTAATGACATAAATCAGTTCTATAAATAGACCTGTCAAATTATGTGAGTTACAGAAAGGTCAACATTAAATCAAAGGGCTGCAAGCTCTGTGGTATTTTCTGATCCCTGCAATCTAAATCGTACTGTATATCTGTATGTGTTTTCCTGTATAAGTTTATTTTTATGTACTATAAGTCATCTTGCAGGGCACCAGAGTTTGATACATACGGAATTTGCATAACTAGAGTTGCATCAAAAAATAATTTATGTTCATTTTTTATGATAGCCACACTTTATCCTTGCATATCGTGGCTATTTCCTTAACAAAGACACTAAAAAAAAAGAATTAAAAAAATGTTGACTCGACTGGGATTTGAACTCCAGACCTCTCACACACCAAACGAGCGCGTTACCCCTGCACCACGGAGAAGTTTTAAAATCAAAAGCTGAATAAAATCAAGTCATTCTAAATTTAGAATTTCCATTGCATTTCGGGTTAGGGTAATTTCGAGGTATTTTGTTCAGGGTAAACCTGTTGTTTAAAATTGAAGTAAATAATTTAGCAAAAATCTTCTCGCCAAAACAGTCCAACATGTAGAAACTATATATTCAACTACTCGGCAGTCAGATTTATTTGTGTAGCATTTGGTAATCGACATCGCTAAAAATAGCATTTTCATCGATTAAAATCATATTCATCCGCGTAATTTGTGAGTGTGCATTTATTGACAACTTTATAAGCCATCGCTACTTTAAAAGTTTGAAGGTGTAGTAATTTGTTGGACACTTGTAACAAAAAATTGTTCTTTCTTTTAAATTACTGGTTTTTAAGCAGTTTTGAGTGAGAACTAATTTGCGTTGTTAGGACTGTTAGGAAATTTTGTGTTAGACCGTGGATGTTAGCTATGTATTATCTGATCTGCGATCAGAAAATACAAAAATCAATACTCCAGTTAAGGTATACATAATCATCCCATATGTGGGGTACTACAATACTTTTCAAGATAATTAGCAGAAACCATTCTGACATTTAAGGCCCCTGTGACCTTGACCTTTGACCCTAAAATCAAAGGGGTCATCTTCTAGTTATGCCCAATCACTATGTGAAATACGAAGATCTTGTGATGAATACTTTTCAAGATAATCAGCGGAAACCATTCTGACATTTAAGGCCCGTGACCTTGACCTTTGACCCCAAATTCAAAAGGGGTCATCTACTATTTATGCCCAATCACTATGTGAAATATGAAGACTTTGTGATGAATACTTTTCAAGATAATCAACAGAAACCATTTTGACATTTAAGGCCCCTGTGACCTTGACCTTTGATCTAGTGATCCCAAAATTAATAGAGGTCATCTACTAGTTATGACCAATCACTATGTGAATTACGGAGACTTTGTGATGAATACTTTTCAAGATAATCAGCGGAAACCATTCTGACATTTAACGCCCCTGTGACCTTTGACCTAGTGACCCCAAAATCAATAGGGGTCGTCTACTAGTTATGACCAATCACTATGCGAAATATGAAGACTTTGTGGTGAATACTTTTCAAGAAAATCAGCAGAAACCATGTGGTCTACCCACAGACAGACCGACCAACATTAGCAAAACAATATACCCCCTCTTTTTCGAAGGGTGGCATAAAAATCTATGAATTTATCCGATGGACTTTATTCTCTCCAACTTTTTGCCTGGAGTCTTGTAATCTTCCCCGTTCCAAAACATTTAAAGAGTTGTTTTCTGGTTTGCACACCATTTTCAAAACATTTCGTCAAATTTTAGCAGTCGATCAACCTAACCTGCTTTCCTGGATAGCTTTTCTCCTTAAGTGACCATGCAACAACTAATCCCACATGATTTTTGAATCAGTGGTGATACAGAGACCAAGTCAAGTCATGTCAAGTCAAATTTATTTATAAGTCAGATTCATATAACAACAAAACATAAGCTCTAATGAGCTTCTTTCACAGACTGATCTCAATGTCAATTGTCCTGGACATCATTCTGGAACACATCTCAGAATCTACTCCTACATTACATAAATATTTACTTATTCAAACCCAACGATCACCATTTAAGATGGTAGGGTGTTCTACCCTACATTTCTACCCTACACTGCTCTTCCTCTAATTCTTTAGCCATAGTTATTTACCATCAGTATTTCAGTTAATTGCAGACCAATTAAAGTGGTTTAACAAGAAGTCAAAGCTTTCTGACAATGGTTTGTTTATTTTATTATATTGACACAAATTAAAATTGACTGGTGTATGTTATTAACAATGTATTACTAATAATTTTGTTACCCGTTTTATCGGGTCTGATTTTTTTCTTCAACTTTTCTGTCCTTTTGCTTTATATCTTACATATCATTGTATATTGTTTATATTCCTCATAGAAAATAAATAAAACATACCAATCAAAATCAGTGGTGGCATGGCTGAGTGATTATCACATTGGTCTAGTAATCTAATGATCACTAGCCGCATGCCTTCAAACTCTGTCAGGGGAAAATTGTTGTTTCATTGAGCAAGAAACTTTCCTCTTATTGCTCAATACTAGTTTGTTCCTGAAAGTGTGTCGATAAGTTTATAGCTTCCTACATATCCAAACTAAAATGAATTCTGAATAGACAAAGTAAAAGATAATAAGAAAGAATAACTTACTCCAACTCCATCTGAATATTTTATTCCAAGATTCTTATTATATTTGTACATTATTCTTAAACATGTATGATCTAAAAAATACTGAATCACCAACTATACCAACTTTCTCATATAGTATTTCATCATGTAACACTATCAATTTTTAACATTTGAATTAACAATTTTTGTCAGATATTTACGATGACTGAAACAGCTAGATGTGTGCAACACAGTCAACCCTTTGTGTATTGCATATTGCCGCATTTGTTTTGAAAATCAATATAAAACTAAAATTATATTCATTTTTATTTCAAGACGTTAAAATCATAACACTTAAATTTATTTAAATATATTTGAAAGGTAAAAAGAGCCTTCTCTTTTCTTTACCAAACAATAAGACAAGATGTTTCTATATTGCTTTGAAATATATTTAGTTGAAACAAAATATTGTACATTTTGATCAAATAATAAAGAAAATATCTACATATGTTGGTTATGTACCAATGCATCAGAATATATTATTGCACCTCTACATAGAGCACTCCAAATTTGTTCTTTAAGTACTTATGACAGTACTAACATATATATATACCAATAACATGTTATGAATAGATATGTAAACTATCATCTTTACAAGATATTAGGTGTTAAAGCAGCACGCCCTCCAGATTCATGTTAATTTTCATAAAAATTTTGGTAATGTATTTGAAAGTAAAATTTTCTGAGGTGAAGAAGTAAAGTTATTTACATATTGCAATCGGCACTTACAATCCATGTAAAAAACCAAAAAGAGGTCAAAATATGTAAAAACAGCCCTTACACAGTAGAAATATGGTGATACAAGAGCTGTCCGTAAGACAGCGCGCTCGACTTTTTTATTGCTTGCCAATAAAAAAAGTTTTTGCAGTAAAAGGCAATACAAGAATCTCTGTATTTTTAAAGTGAACAATGGCCATGAGCATTAAGATATTTAGTGAAGAATTATTTTACTGAATTGTGTAACTTGTCCACCAATCAAATAGGCGAGATAAAATGTGAAATATGCATATACTACTGATTTTAATTTCAAGTACAAAAAGAGAAAAATAACTAGTTGTTTGATACCCTTGAATATTACAGCAATGTTTATATGACATAATTTATGGTAAAGTGAACAAGTGGATAGGAATGAATTTTTTTAGATTTTTTAAGTTTTTAGTGCTTGCCTATAATACAAAACATTGACAGTTAAGGGCCATAATTCAAATAAAATCTTTGACAGAATTACCTTCTCCTGGACATGTTTGGGAATCATGATTGTAAACAAGTATTCCAACTTTCAAATTAATATCTCAAACAGTTCAGTCAAAAAGTGGACTGGTACTAAAAACTTAACCAAGATTCTAAGTCGATAAAAGGCCTTAATTTTTAAAACAAATCCTTGACAGAGTTACCTTCTCTTGCGTACAGATGGGGGTAATGATGTGAAATAGCATTAAAAGTTCAAAGCAATATCTCAAAGGGTTAAGGCAATAAGTGGATTTTACCCATATTCAATGTATTTTCTAAGTCAAAAAGGGGCATAATTCTGTCAAAAACCTTGACAGAGTTATGTCCTCTTGTCTGTTGATGAAGGTCGTGATGGTAAACAAGTATGGTCAGTTTCAAAAGCAATACCTCCAATGGTTTTGAAATAAAGTGAGGTGGTACAAAAAACTTAACCAAGCTCAATACACTTTCTAAGTCAAAAAAGGGCCATAATTCTGTCAAAAACCTTGACAGAGTTATGTACTCTTGTCTGTAGATGGAGGTTATGATGGTGAACAAGTATGGTAAGTTTCAAAGCCATACTTGTAATACTTCTGAAATAAAGTGGGGTGGTACGAAAAACTTAACCAAGGTGTGACGCCAACGCCGACGCCGACGCCGGGGCGAGTAGGATAGCTCCCCTTTTCATAGAAAAGTCGAGCTAAAAATGCTGCAAAATCCGTCTTAAATATCAAAAATAACATGCAAACTACTCAATAAACCTTGAATGTTTTTACCTTTCTTAATATATAAGTATATTTTTCTCAATTATTATCTTCTTGAAATATTTTGGCTCATCTGGAGGCGTGCAGCTTTAAAATAAATATATACCAATATGTAACAATGTCTTAATATGTCCAACAATTGAAAAATCTGCCATCAATCTTTTCCAAAACAAACAAGTCTCAGCTTTTCTCATTTTTTCCTTTAAAAAAACAAATAGCATAACAAATTGCATAGTTTTACCTGAATAATACATGTATATTAAATTTTACAATTTTGTATTTAGTTAATATGTTTGTATAGAAATAAACAGATGTATATATGAAATTTCAAATATAAAATGATGGCAATACAATTTGGCCACGAGTAAGATATGAGTTAGGACCATCTCAAATGAAACTTAAGTCAATATAACAAGAGGGCCATGATGGCCCTGAAATTGCTCACCTGTATAAACCCAGAGGCTTTTATTTGAACTTGGTAGCCACCCATTAGAAGATGATTCATTATAAATATCTAAGCTCTAGCTCTTTGGGGTTTTTAAAAGAAGATTTTTACTATACACATATAGGGAAAAACAATGACCCCCACCTCCCGGGCGGGACCATTTTTGACCCCAGGGCTTTTATTTGAACAAACTTGGTAGACACTCACTAGAAGATATATCATGCTTAGTATCTTAACTCTAGCTCTTTGGGTTTTTTTAAAGAAGATTTTTTTAAGTTTTTACTATACACATATAGGGCCCTTATTTGAACAAACATGGTAAACACACATTAGAAGATGTTTCATGCTAAATATCTTACCACAAGCTCTTAGGGTTTTTTAAAAGAAGATTTTTTAAGTTTTCACTATATACATATAGGGAAAACAATTTTGACCCTAGGGCTTTATTTGAACAAACTTGGTAGACACCCACCAGAAGATGTTTCATGCCTAAAATCTAAGCTATAGCTACTTGAATTTTTTAAAAGAAGATTTTTAAAGTTTTTATTATATACAAATAAGGAAAATCAATGACCCCCCGGGGCAGGGTTAATTTTGACCCCAGGGCTATTATTTGAACAAACTTGGTAGACTCTGACTAGATGATGTTTCATGCCTAATATTTAAGCTCTAGCTCATTCGTTTTTTTTAAAGAAGATTTTTTAAGTTTTTTCTTTTGGTTGCCATGGCAACCAGAGTTCTGCATGGAATTAAATTCTTTGATCAACTTTTAAAGTTCATTACCAAAAGAACATTTCTGTGAAGTTTGGATGAAATTGGCTAAGCTGTTTATGAGGAGATGTTGTTTAAAGTAAGTTTACGGACGGACGCCGGAGGAAAAGCGATCACAAAAGCTCACTTTGTGATAGGTGAGCTAAAAATTAGTTCTCTTAGTTCTAAAAACATGTATAAGACACAGAAAAATGTTAATTTCAAAAGATGCACTTTAACTTTAAAAAGTACATAAATTATGCTTCTTTACAGTTTTTCACCTTTGCTCTTAGAAATAAACAATTTCTGTTTATTAAAAAATAAAGGAATAAACAATGTAAAACAATACATTTCAATAAACAAATAGCACTTTTGTCTGCATAATTATTACCCTTTATTAAATAATGTGTAACGATACATGTTAATATATATTGTAATTTGTAAACATTTGAAATGTTGTGATCATTTTCCTATTATGCCTATTATCACCTGTAGGAAACATAAAATGTATAAAAGTTATATGTACAAAAAATCCCCCAATGATCTTAATATTCTAATTAAAATAAACCCCAGAAGCTGTGTTGGATGATCTCCCTTGAATACTCTCACTGTTTTCGCAACTCCTCGGGACAATCTGGCTGAACACCTGGATCTGCTGCCTTAAATGCTGGTAATTCTGACAAAGCATCAATAATTCTTGTGATAGTTGGAAACTTTGTCATGTCTACTTTAAATCTGAAAACAAGTACTAGTAATACAATTGAAATTAAAAGACCAATGTTGGAGAAGACAACTAATCTTAGCTCACAATTAGTATTCTATACATGTACATATAAAAAGCCTTTATTGATGTTTATTTCTATACTCTATGTAAACATTTGTACATTAATGTTTAATTATATAGACATTGATCAAATTGTATCTCATATGAATGACATAATTTGTGACAACAAAACAATAAACAATGTTTTGGCACTGGCAATATTTACTGGCATTATTTGAAATTTCAAGTGTTATATTTGAGCTCTGCCATGAGAGTCTGAGTGACTTTCTTATGTCTCTTTATTGTCAGAAGTAGCCAAAAAAAACAAAACAATCAGAACAAGTTTGTTTGCAACAGATTTACAGTTTGGTTTAAGGCATATAAAATGAATTTCAAATAAACATTAAATAAGATTCAGGTAAAATGTATATAACATTATAAGAGGTGATTTACCTTTGAGCGTTGTAGAGTTGAGGTACTAAACAAACATCAGCTATTGTGATTTCATCACCAACAGAATACTTGCCAGCAGTACTCTGAACCATTTTCTCATACGCTGAAAAAATATTTCAGTTATTAATCTATTTTCTCATTCATTCCTTATCCCCATAAGCAAATAACATGTAAGCTTAAATCACATGCCAAAACAGATAAAAAACATTTGAATTAAACATTGAAAACTTGCCATGAAACATTATTATGACGGTTATAGGTAAATGATTTATCTTTATAATCTTTTTCCTATTCATCAAAACAGTTGCTACATTAATATAGGCAAAACTTAAATGAAGACATAAAGTTTGAAAACTGCCATTTCCGCACATGGGAGTTGGCACAGTTTTATCAAGTAATACAAAGTATTGTGATTTTTCTACACATGATTTTATCTCTGCAGTTACTTTTAACTATCTGAATGCCAGTGATAGTATCTCCTATGTTCCACCATCACTTCACTTATTTAGTTTTCATGTTTGTGACAATGTAAATGACACTGGATGTCTTTTACATGTAATCTCGTTAACCTTTACAGTATACTATTACAGATATACACCTGTAAGTCCTTTATCAATGTAATAACGGCACCATTCCTGTCTGTTAGTCTCATTTTCTTTATGTAGGAGCTTATTTACAGTGGTGTTGGTTAATGGTTGTGTACCAGAAGTAATTAACTCAGCCAGAGACCGAGCCTACAAATACAAACAAAATCATGCTTATGCCACAAATGTTTCAATAAATAATAATTTGTTAACTTATTCAAAGACCCACCATTACCTACAACTAATCAGAGTAGCAGAATCATGTAATATTCACTATGTTCTAATTCTGTTATATTACACTAATTGTACCAGTGATGTTAGGTATTGGTGTGTCTTTAAATATATACACAGCCATAATATCTTCTTTACCTGCAAATCCCTTGTCAATCCAAAATTGGCCCCATTCTGCCCTTTCTTCAGGTTTATCAGAGACTTTCTGCAACACTCCAAGGTTCTGTATCGGCTGGGTACCAGCTGCTATAAGTTCAGCAAGGGCTCTAGCCTGGTGCCAGCAGAAGTAAAATATATTTGGATATCATAACATCATAAAGAAAAATCCTGAGTTATGAATGTTTGATAAATTTTGATACTTCATGATTCTTTAAAGGACGATAGTTTGCACTTAACAGTACTATCCATGAACACGCTCAATAAAACTGAGCCTGCAATATTTCCAATTTTGTTGTTTGGACTTTCTTTAAGGATTCTTATTTTCTTTATTTTATTTATTTCAACAATGCAATCATATTGCACATTTCTTGGATTGGCTACTGTTTTACTGCCATTTACTGTTCCCTTTTCTACATTAACCCTTAACCTGGTGAATTTGTGTAATGGATTTGCCAAGCTTTCAATTTTCTAAGTTTAAAGTCTATTCAAAGTTTATGGAATTTCAATATCTATGCTATGGGTTCGAATCCCAACAGGGACTTTGGATTCTTTCATGTGAGGAAGTTATCCAGCTAGCTTATGGAACGTCATGGTTCTATCAGACTCAGCTATCGCCCCCTACAATATAGGATTGACAGCTGTATTTGTTCAATAGAATTAAGTATTGCACTCAACAATGTGTAATAACCTCATATCATTGTCATTGATATTTAATTCAATATCAACTCACATTGTAGAATAACAATTTAAAACATTTTTCTCTGTGTAGACTTTGCTTACATTTATGACAACTCTTACCTGGGCTTTCTTTATAGGATCTTCTGGTACAATAGCTGGCTTTGGATAAACATCTTCTAGATAGTCTATGATAGCCAGCTGTAAATAATTATTTATATTGGAGTATTCATAATTGAATCAGAGTAAAAGTTTCAAGAAGCACTCATTTTGAAGGATGTTTTATTAAAATTTGATTTACATTTTGAAAACAGAAAAATATTAGGTATTTATAAATTCTGAAGGCCGTTTAGACCTTTTACACAGGTAAGTGGCAGAGTGGTGAATGCATCAGACTAGGAATCCAGCTGAGGCAGTATGAACCATGTCAGAGGCAAGCCATTGTTTCTTTGTGCAAGGAACTGTACTAGTCATTTTCTAGAAATAGAATCAAAACGTGTGTCCTACACTATATTTAATTTGACAATCCCAAAACCAACAATTTGTAAAAATCATTTACCACACAATCTGGGGTATAATTTTTGAATTATCTAAAAATGTGTTAATATGACACACATAAGACAGTTATACTCCATTCCCACTTATTTGCCTGTCAGTGGCATATTTACATACTTATGTTTCATAAAGGTAAAGTGGTAAATTAATAAATAAATAATAGAATTACATGTATCACTAAATGTATGAACAAACACCTATGTCTGAGGCAATTCTAGTCAGGACTATACAGTAAGTTTCACTGTGATTTTTATGTTTGAACTAATGACCTTAAAATCAATAGGGGTCATTTAATGACCACAATAAAAGTCCCTTTCAAAGTTTCCCAGTCTCAGGCGTATTACTTCTCAAGTTATTAATAAGACAAGACGTTTTATTACATGCTTTTCGGTGGTTTATAGAAATATATCAGTGATAGAAAACTGGTAATTTCACTGTCTGAAACAGTGAAATTACCACTTTGATAATTTCACTGTTTTGAATTTAAGCCCCTTACGTTGTTTCAGTGAGATACCAGCGTGCACAGTACTGGGTACCAACTAAATGACGTGACGTCGTAAATGACGTCACATTGTATAATTATTTGGCGCGCTTTTCATTCAGTATTAGATTTAATGTCTTTTTAAAACGTTTATTTGCATATAATAAAAAGAAAATTTGTTTAGTTTAGTGTAAGATCGAAATATATTTCACCTTGTGAACACCAAAAGTTCATATTTCACTCGTGGCTGCGCCACTCGTGAAATATTCCTTTTGGTGCTCACTCGGTGAAATATATTCCGATCTTACACTGAACTAAACAAATATCCTCTAGATTTTTACACAGAGTGTCTGGTTTGTTTGGATTTAACTGTCCCACTGTTACATTACTGGTCATACCGGGAAAATTCACAGTGTGTTAATCTCTATCGTTCCAGTATTCTAGGCATACCCATCTTGTGGGCAGCAAAAACATTTATGGATGACATGACAATATACATATATACATACGGATTGTGTAAGAGCTGTTTCCCCAATGACAAATGCTGGCACTTGTTCCATAGGGTTAAGAGCTTTGAATTCTTCTGAATGCTATGGTATAAAATTAAGAGTTCGATTTTACAAAAATTTCACACAATAATGTCATATATGAATACAAAGAAAAATTGTTGAGAAAATTTTTATCTGAAAGCATGTTGTTATTGTTATCAGTATTAGATTTTGCAAGTATTGTAGGAAAAAATAACAGGTAACTTGTTCTTGGGAGGAAATTTTTTCTAGAAATTCCTGTGTAACTATAATGTCATAATGTCCAATAACTAAAATGTTTTACTAATGGTTTCTCCCTAAAACCTGAAGTTTCCGTACTAAAAATTGGATAAAGGCAAGCATTTTTATCAACATAATTATACATTATATGAAATGAAAAGTACTCGACATGTAAGATAATCACTGCAAATATAACTATGTCTAAATTATATTTTAAATACAATCATCTTGCGTCCATAATACATATATGAAAAAAAAGCATCAGTGCAAAATGATAAGTTACATTTATAAATGATTTCTCCCGTATGTGAAGATGTCAGAATGTTTACTCTCTCTCCCTACAATGTTCAAATATGTTGAACATAACTTTACAATATTAGGTCAGCAAACAATAATAGACAATAACTTTGAAATCACAGTCTGACATATGTAGAATTGAAGTTTGTATATTAATACCTGTTGTCCTCCATCTTTAACAAGATTGACAGCTTTATACTCATAGTCTACTCCCTTTAATGCTAGAACTGAAAAATGAAATAATTTCTTATAATTTATTATATTAATGGAACTCCAGTGAGATCCACAAGAATAAAAAGCATACAGTTTGATTTTCTTACATTGATCAACTGGACTTATTACAGAAAGATATGCAAAAGAAAATTAAAAATATACTCAGAAATAAATTGTAAATTGTATTTTTGTGCTATTCTTAGGTCAATTTTGAGTGAAAAGCAAAGCAATTCTTTTCAAATTGGGCAATTTTCACATTCAGAATAATTATTCTGGTAAACAGAGTAAGCAAATGATTTTATAACAAGAAATTGGTCTAGACCTACATCAAATGGAACCAGTAGCTTAGTATAACAAACTTCAGTAATTTTAATTGATAACTACCTCACATGGAAAATTCCATGTCCAAGCAGTATGGAAAAACAAAGTGACAAAGTACATGTAGTAACTGAATTAGTAAATAACCCAGTTTGTTAAGTAGAGAAAGGCATGTAGCCATCTGAATGGAACCATTGCTTTCCCATAACATATCCCTCAAGGGCATTGTACAGGTACACGTAAGGGAATTTGCCTTTTATTTAAATTTGTGACAAATAGAAAAATATTTTTGTAAAAAAAAAGCAAACTTATGTAAATTGAATCAATACAAGGGAAAAACACCATGATCTTAAAGAAATGTCCTGGGGGTGGAAGCAGAGAAGCCAGTAGCTATCCTTAAAATGACCCCTGCTATAGAAGGAAAGAACACCAACCACTCAAATCTATAATAAAAAATCTTACCTATTCTTACTCTCCAAGAAGCTGAGCTTCTGAAGTATGAGTACAAAATTGGCTGAAACAAAAATAGAAAATACATTCATTTTATCACAGCAAAGTTTATACATAGTTTATAAATATTTATTAAAAAAGCAAACTACCAAATACCTTGTCAAGCAAATAAGTGAACATAATTATGAACTTTTGAGCACCAATCAATTTATCAATGATCTAATTTTACATACCATCTTCTGTAAAGCATTAGGTTGTTTGTTATCAAGACAAAGTCTAGGTCCCCAGCAGAGTTTTGATTAAATGGAAGATAAGATCTTATATGCTCACTAAGTGGTTTGACATTGTACCAGACTATTAAGCAATTCAAGATAATTCAAGAGGCATTTGTCAGTCAAGCTCTTCCGAATTTTTTTATTATTAAAATCTTAATATTTTAATGAATCAAAACATAAATTTAGAGTTTTTAAAAAAATGTCATTTCTGAAGTCTATCTTTGACTCCTGTAACCTGCTTATGTATCAGAATGAAACAATTTACATAGCCTACCTGATTATACATCTAGAGGACCAACTGAGAAGTTATGTGGTTGATTTTAATTGTGGATACACAAGGAAAACACAAAATTAATGAGAGACATTATGTGATTACAAAACTTCACCTCGATCTGAGCAATTTGTGTTCAGATGAGCAAAAAAAACTAACAACAAAAAACAAAAATTAAAAAAAAAATACCTTGATTGAAGATCATTTTACAACAGTCTAATTATTTGATTCATAGTATTAATGCATTATATATTAAGATGTCTTGTGGATAATGTATTATGTATTAACCATGTTGATACTATGTTAAGTGTGCAAATAATTAAGATTTTATTTAGATTAATAATTTGAATTTATTTACCTCACCAGGCTGGTAAAAATGCCCCATCTGGCTTATGACATAAAAAATCATATTTCTAGACATATGATAAAGAGGTTTCTTTTAAACTTTGTTTGTTTATTGAACATAATGTATAACATAAACAGAAAGAAAAATATTTGGTAACAGTCGCTTTTGTGAGAATTGTTTCCCCTTTTTCATGTTTATATAACACATAATTTTCCAAGTCCTTAAAAAAATTTTCACCAGCCTGCTCACTACTCTATGGGTTTTTTTTGTGTTTAAGTTTTACCAATTAAGCCTTGGTTATTTTAATATCCTTACTTACTTTTGATCTCATTTGATCACTGTTGATCTCATTATGATTATTGTTTTATTTTGTGATTAAGATGTCATGTAAATGACCCATGATTGGTGTAATATGAAATTAGGTGCAACCTATATATGGCGCGGAAAGCTCTTATGAATTATGAGGTTTGAGCATAACATGTTTAGTGTACATGTAAACCAGATCTTTCTTGCAGGTATTTTGTACTGTAAACAAAACGAATAAATTGGTAGTGTTCAACCTATCGTCGGAGCGCTCGGAATATTCCGAAAATCTCCGACCACTGCGCACGCGTCGGCGTTTGGAAAATCCCGTCCGCCATTTTTTGTTAATCTCTTATCACAGTTGTTGTTTAAACATTATTTTTAATGTGCTAATTTATCAAAAAGGATATGTTAAAGTAACTTTTTATATTTATAATCGTTACTACAGTTCTTATCAATAAAATGCATGTTTACTTTCTGATTTTGCACATCATTCTCTCACCGGAACAGGGCTCGAATTTAACTTTTTTGGCTACTAGCAATTTTTTGCTAGTGGACAAATTTTTAACTAGCAAAAACTGAATTCAACTAGCACTTTTTACGACAATGATTTTTTAATTCCAAATTGTTTAAACTTTTTGTGTACATTCATTTATTGTTTAAATTATCATGTACCATAATAATTAATTCATTATTGTTACAATCACCATAATAATGAATTTTATTGAAAATGTTTTTATTAATAAATGTTGCAGTAAACATAAATTTAAAGTAGTTTGTTATAACTTGAGCTCATTCAATTATAATACTTCAATTTTAAGTTTAATTATTTGATGTGCGGAAAGACAAAGTCGTTGCTTGATATAGAGAAAAAAAAAAAATTGTAATTTATTTGGACGAGTTCGAACTGCCCAGGGCACGAATCAGCAACATAACTTTCTACTCAAAAACTTGATTTAGGGAACAGGGATTCTTATGAAATGTCAATCTACATGTAAAAAATAATTATGCAATATTGTCGCCATACCGACGATGTCTGGTCTGGATTATGCACACAACAATCGGCGCAAACTACTGTATGTGTATTTAAATTCGCGGAAGCAAATTTTCGCGGAAAGGTCCATTTTGGGGGTATATACAAATTTTCGCGCTATTTTGAATTCGCGGAGGTGACTGCCGAAAATCATAAATTCGCGTACACCCATCAGGTTAAAAACTAAGGGAAATTACTCTTACATGATTAGCCAATGGTTTTCGCAAGCAGCCTTCTTTCATTTTACATACTTTTTACAGTAACCATTGTGGGTCTTCACAGTTATTTTCAACACCTGGTGTCAAACAATACGCTATTGTTCAGAACAAAGACATTCAATTTGTCTAGCGGACAGATTATCGCAAACAAAAGAATGTCCGTTAACGTTCATGATTTTTCACAGTTTTAAACAGCACTGGATGAGACCATAATCTTTCCACCGATTTTGTTAAAATGTTGACTGAGTAATTGTGTTTTGTTTTCCATGTTTTCATCAGTTAAAATCGTCAATGTTTGTGTTGTTTGTCTTGTTTGTTTAGAAAAACAAAATATAATATGATCATATGTCAAGACGTTTATCACTCAGACTAAGAAAAAAATAGCGTGATACAATGTTATTGTTCATACATGTATATACTTATATAAGAATCCGATTATCATATCAGTCAAACAATAATACGCTAGCAAACTGATTTATATACAGAGCTGAATGTTACATGTACAGTTTATACAACAATAAAATCACCTTTTGAATTTAGCGCCACGGATACCAAACTTATGGCAGCCGTGAACACACTGATACATTGTTCTATAGATGCGCGAAAATATGACTATTAAGAAATTATTGGTGTAGAAATATTCGCGCTGAACATGAATTCGCGGGA